AGTTATATTCAAAATGGCGGTCGTATTACTAATAAGTTGTATTTAAAATGGCGGTCGTATTAGTAATAAGGTTTATGCAAAATGTCGGCTGTTTCTGCAATGATCTAAACCCATCGGAAGGTTTAACGTCAACTTAAAGCCAATCTGAACCCAAAGTCGTTCTGTTCTATATTACAGTTATGGCATAAAGCGTGGCCATTCACTGTAATACGGCAGATAAGCGTTAGTTCCACTTGAGAATTTCTAATTTTRTTCCAKCYGATGGTTATCGCGGTGAACTAATTGTGGATTTGTCAGAAATAGACAAGATTAAAGGGTCAACGAGCGGTCTATAAGAACGTTGCATTGMTTGTTTGTTTTGTTTTGTCTGCGATCAAGTGTTCTAGAATCCCCTGTCGGTCTACCATGTGTTTTTTCTCTTCTACTTGTTCTGTTTCTTCCGATTCTCTTTGAAAAGAATTCTTTAAGTTATAATACTTAAGTTTCGAATCGCTAGTTCTCGTTTGCTTAGTGCTGTGATTTGACATTGATGGAAAGCATTACGTTGTTGTGAATTTGGTTTCCGGGATTTTGACAACTCGAAATATAATGTCAGAAAAGATCACGTTTCGAGTTTGTTATCGGCCAATCACAGGGCAAACTTTACATAAATACACTCATTTCTTTATTACTCATAAAGACCATTCATAAAAAAAAATAAAAAATAAAAAAAAAAACAACATAAAATTATAATGACTGTTCTTATTTTATAGGGATCTTTCATCACAAGGAATTACAAAAGTACCAAATGGATCCTTCGTCAACTATACACGACTTCTTTATCTGTAAGTGTATAACTTAAAACAAGCAATTCCCGAAAAACTGTCGATAAATTCTCGAGGAACTCTCGATAAAGTCCCGATAACGCTTCGAAGTACGACGAGTTATCTGCACTTCTCTTCGTTAAATATAAGGAATGAAGATCTGCTTTCTGGACAACGAAACGTTTTTGAGATAGTGGCGTATCCACAAAAGACTGAGCATGCAGAGATAAAGCTAAAAGAGATGAAAATTTCCCAAAAGTCACGTAAAGCCCGACTGAAATCCGAATAGGTTGTATTGTTCGGAATTGCCTTCGGGTGATATTCGGGATTGCGTTCGGAAAATATTCGGAATTGCTATCAATCACTTTGATTGCCGGCGTTGTTCTAACCTAGTTTTGATTTGTTTTAAGGTCTCTCGCCAACAATTCYATACGATCTCTTTCAAGACATTCTTTTCAAGGGCTGCAAAGTCTTGAAGAACTGTAAGTAAAGGGATTCTTTATGACAATCTTTGAGCTTAAAAAGCACTTACAGAAAACCTGAAAATATCGTTAACTCAGTCATACAATTATTCAAAATGGTGGAAACTAGCGGTAAACTAGTGTGAGCTGCGTCGGTGTTTCTAAAGAAACATTTGTGCAAAAAGATAAATTCTAACACCGTAAAAAAAGTATTTGAAATAACTTAGTGATGTTTCGGACGCTAAACACCGTAAAAAAAGTAGGTGAAACAACTTACTGACGTTTCGGACGTTAATCCTTCGTCGGAGTAAAGGGAAATAATAATTCAATTTAATAATTTCTTCTTTTAATTATTTTATTGATATTCAATCTTCAGCCATCTTCAAAACAATGGCAAACTATCACTTGACCAAGGAGTCTTCACATCCTTAAAGTCACTCAAAGTTATCCACTTAGAAGGCAACCAGATGGAYTCACTACCAGCTAGCATTTTCAACCTAACAAGAACMRTCAACATCACCAAGGAAACCAAAAAAGAGAGTATCCACTGCAATTTTTATAAAAAACCGCTGTCCGACTGCATAGGGACTCACATCCCAAAATGCAAAGCAGCACTAGAACTCGAAGAGAAAGAACTCATTAAATTCAAAATTCAAGGCTGCGCACGCGCAGTTTGTAAAGTAAAACAGACCGGCAAGTCTATAGAATGCTACATGGCSTCCTCGAATGCTAATGAGACCGCGTGGAGCATTCTGGGGGATAATTCGGCTGTCAAGCTCGCTTTGTGGACGTTTGGTYTMCTTGCTGTGACGTCAAACGCGCTTGTTTTACTGACGTTAGTGTGCAACAAGGAAGCCCGCCAATCGGCTTTGTGTGTKTTTGTTATGAATTTRCTMTTGGGRAACGTCTTCATTGGTATCTACATAGTTACATTCACTGTCTCAGATACGGTTACATTCGGGAACTTYAASCAATACGGYGARGGACGATGGGAAGCCAAATGGTGCGTTGCGTTATTTTTCRTCAAGACTATTGGYTTAATACTAGTCGTATCATCACTYGTTCTCGTATCGATTGAACGAGTGCTTGTTATCGTATTCAACTCGCCCCGACATATCGATTGTTGTCGTTCTGTYGGTTACGTCGTCGAGACTTGGTTATTCGCATGTGTTGTGACTATTGTTCTTTGGACTAAGACTAGTCGTTGGGGCTACCTGTGTTCAACGCATGGCAACAGCCGAGGGTTTTTAGACATTCACTTGGGAGTCATGTTAACTCTATTCTCCTTATGCGTCGTCATGGTGATTCTATACGTGTATTTATTATGCCGGCTTAAAGGCCAGGACCATAGCAACGGCCAAACGGACGAATACCGTAGCACAATACGCATGTTTCTATTACTCCTKTCGACAATCGTAAGCTGGGCTCTTCCATATATGGTGATGGTATTAGTCGTTCCTGTTTACATGTCAATCACCGTGTCCATGCAGACAATGGCGATTTCATTGACAATCAACGCGTGTTTACATCCGTTTATCTATTCGTACGATAATGACAACCTAGAGAACTTATACAGCGCTCTATCRTGCAGRAGCGACTCTTGTCTTCTTCTACCTACAGTGATRCAAGGACAAACGTGYCAAGAAGACGAAGAAAAGATAAAAAAACAAGAGCAGCTTGCACTAGAGTTAGAGACATTTCCAAAACCATCTTTTAATGACGAAGGAACCCCAGTCGAAGTTAAGTCAACATCTGGTTACAGAGTGGATTCAGATCCAAGAATGTCACCCCCACCCCCTGCGTCGCTAGTTAACTTTCAAAACACAAAACGAGGATCTGAGGTCTCAAAAGCCGAGGGCGCTGTAATCATTACAAATAAGTCCCCTACGGGCTCAAGTTATCAAGAAGACTGTTCAATCGTGGTTCATTCGGCACCGTCTTCGCCAGCGACGAAGGAGCCCMGAAGATTTATCGACGAGCATAGCGATTGCGGTACTATGTCTTCAGATACTAATGTTACGTGGATAAGTAGYGATTGYCCTAGTCAYGTKCATGGTCGACTAGGCGACGGAAATTCGACGACATCGAGTCGAGCTTCGTCGATACCACTCGGGAAGTCAGCGGCGTCGCCTCGTATTTCCAGGAAAAGACTGTCGTCGGTGAAATCGGACTCAGAAGAAAGGAGTGATGATGAGACACCGCCAGAGAAACTAYCCCCTCCTGGACAAAGCAATGAAATAACTAAAACTGAAGCAGAAACTTTAGATCAACCTACTACTAACAAAGCTGAGTCAGGGGGGGTTAGCAAAAGAAACCGACCTATGTCTCCAGTGGAAATTATTTGTAAAGTACTTTCACCAAAGGCAAGAAAAAAGCGTCCAAAAACAGACGAAGGACTCCCGGATGTAACTAAATCAAACGTAGAAGTTCAATCTCGCAAAAAGAGATCAAAATCGATGCTTGTTGGTAAAGAGGCTAAAYCTGCACAAGTGCAAGAGAATGTACTCGATCCACTTCCTACCGTTGCGCTACGAGAAAAAAAGCCATCGACACAACCGCGTACTAGACGCAATGGCGTTCTTGTTGTTAGATCAGGCGAGATTCAGCTGGACTTCAAAGATGAAGAGACGTCAAAAGACCTAGGCACTAGTGTCCAGAGTCCAACGGACGAAAATATCGCAAAAGACTGGGACAAGTATTCGAAGCAGATAGTCATGAGACCATCCAGGGCGAGCCTACGCCAAAATGCGAAGGATAAGAAACGAGCGAAGCTAAATCGCAGCCTTTCCGCACCAATACCAGCGACTAAGGTTCGAATATATCAAAATCCGGTCGCTGACTTTCATAATAACAACGAAACAAAAGAAAACAAGGATGAGTTGACTAATGAAGAAACTGTACCACTTTCGCCAACAAGAACACTTGCAAAACTAGAGGAAGGTGATACAGTACCTGAACTCCCAAAAAACATCAAGACGAAGTATCGTAATAGTACTTCTTCAACAAGCTCAAGCCTTAGACTTTCTAGTAAGAGTCTAGAGTGGGACCCTAGTTGTACAGACGACGCTTACTCTGATGGTGATTACCTACCCCCTCCCCCCACAGCACCACCAAGACAGACGAAAACTAGCGACTCTTCAACACCTCCATCAAGCCCGCGGTCAAGTGTTGGGACGACGAGTGAGAATGGGGAATATTATCACGTGGTGACAGATCCAGCCAATGGGAGTCGTTACAGTCTTGACTGGGATCCTACTGGCGTGCAAATGAGGCTAAGCATAGTTTCCCATGATTCAACTGCAGGTGTCAATCAGCACCAAGAAGATCATGTCCCTGCATCTTTAGTGTGAAAAGTAATAGGCTACATAGGTACTTTATATAGTTAGGGTTCTTTGATGGTACCAAATACCATTGGGACTCTATTTAATAGGTACAAAATATTAATGGACTCTTTCTGACAGTTACAAAATGTTTCAACATACGTTCCTTTTTTTAAAGATACAAAACATCATCATAGGCCACTTTTCGAGGAGTTCAAATTGGCATTTATAGCGCATTTTTCGATAGGTGCTTCATATCACTAGGACTCTATTTGATAATTGAAAAAACATCATTAGGACACTTTTCGAAGAGTACAAACTGTCATTTATAGGACATTTATCGATAGGTCTTCATAGCACTAGGACTCTATTTGATAATTGAAAAAACATCATTAGGACACTTTTCGAAGAGTACAAACTGTCATTTATAGGACATTTATCGATAGGTCTTCATAGCACTAGGACTGTTTGATATACCATTAGGCCACTTTACGATTGGTACAAATTATCATTTTTAGGACGTTTTTCGATAGGTACATCATATCATTAGGACTCTAATTTGATAATTGAAAAACATCATTAGGCCACTTTTCGATGGGTACAAATTGCCATTTTAAGGGCATTTTTCGATAGGTACATCTTATCACTACGACTCTATTTGATACATCATTAGGCCACTTTTCGATGGGTATAAATTATCATTTATCGGACGTTTTTCGATAGGTACATCATATAACTAGACCTTGTGACTGATTTAGAGCGAAACAGCGCATGCTCAGAAAAGTCATGGCCTCCTAGGCTATCAGCTCGTAGTCCACTCGCCTTCGAGGTCTAATTGTTAATTAGTTACCAAAACTAATGCCCGGACAAAATAACGTTTGAGCAAGAAATCGAACACTAATATATACATATACCAAAGCGATAAGACATTTTTAATTTAATATAAAACTATCAATTAATTATTAATTTATAACTACACCTCAGTGTTATTGTACATATTGTAGCTTAGCGTGCTAATTTATTCATAGTATTTATAAGAGTGATCTTATGTGTAAATAAAAGCTTTCAGTTGTGACTGGATGTTATTAATTTACTCCATAAACCGACTTCCGAAAAGATGAACCGACCACAAACCGACCAGCCGACCACCCTTTAACAACCAACCACCGAGCCCTTTTTATAAGCGACGAGCGAGTGCCTGATTTTATAACCGACTTCTTCCGATTAACTAACCATCTTTTTTATCGACCACTCCTGGTAAACCGACCGTACAAGCTTCCAATGCTATATAATGCGACCAGTTTTGCCTATACAACCGTTTTAAACTACTTTGAAGTGACCGCAAATTGGCACCAATACTACTAGGGTCTCAATTACAAAGTCATTTTATGTACCAATGCAACAATTACTCACTGTATCCATTCCAAGAAATCAAAGCCGCGACGGCGGTTATCTAATTCTTCGGTCAGCGGAGTTACGACTTGAGTTGGACGAATTTCGTGAAACTTGCCTAGAAGCCAAGTTTTGTTCGTGCTGCCATAGCAACTCGGCTAGCGTATTGAGAAACGGCGCAACATCCTATTGATGACGAAAATCAATTATGAACCTTAAAAACACAAGCGTTTCTTAAAGAAAACATGATTGCTAAACAATTTCGTACCAATATCCCCGCTCTTCCATCTAGGCCGCGTCCGTCTGAGAGTCTGGGTCCGTCTTTATTCGCAATTTTGAGGACTGGAACCGACCACTGTTCTTCAAATTCCCTCAGTTCTTGTTCAGTGATATCGCTGTGCAAAAACTGGTCAAACCTGTTTGTTATATAATATTGGTATTTCAACTCGACTATAAATTGTTGTATTGCTTGATAGCTATCTTAAAGTTAAGATTTTTGGTACTACCTCCCCAACTTGGGTGGGAGGTGTACGTTATCCCAGACAAATGGGCAAAAAATGATACCCTATCCCACACTTGGAGCTGCGAAAAAGCGACCCTATAGGAGAGTACCCCCACCCCCACCCCCCAAGCTATTAAAAGCCAGAGATGAAGAAAGAAAAGAAGCTATTCATATACCATACCTTGTTGCGACCGCAACCTTGAGAACACCGTCACCCGACCCATGCATGTTGTTCATCTACAATCAAGATAACAAACATTTAGAAGTTTGATTGAATGAAAAAATCACTCATTGTTGTCCTAAGTGTTTTCCTAGGCTATCTCTTCAGTTCCACCATCACACCTTTTTTCTTTACTTTACTTTCCTTTTCTTCCATTTTGTTCTCCTATCAATTTCCTATCGCGTTTTCTCTTCTTCTCTCTTATTTTCTCTTTTCTTCTCTCTTTTCTTTTCAATCCTTCTTTCCCTCTTTTCCTTTTTTAATACCCATAGTGTCCTCTAATGCCCAGTTCCAATAATCCATAATGACTCCAATTTCCTCAAATGTGTATCTCCATTAATCTCTTTTGCTCAAGATATTTAACAACAATTGAAAAACGTGTCTGGCGGAAATTGGGCCAATCATATGGATGCAAGTCATAAAGGGGCCACAAGTGATGAAAATGGTTGACATATAAAGCTATTACTATTATCAATGAAATCATGAATAACAACTTACAAAAGCATCAAGTCACGTACCTTGCTTGGTAAGTCATCAAAACTTGATCTGTTGAAAAACCAAAACGGAAAATACATTTCTTTGTAAAATCATGTGAAATATTT